CCCACGGGGCCCCCATTCTCACTCGGTCTCTCTAATTTGTATTAAGTATCCCTTCCTCTCAGGCTTTCCTCCTCCCCTTCTTCTCCCTTCTTGTCTCTTTTGTGAGTGAATAATTTATGGCACTTTTCATCTTCCTGGCTGTTGTTCCAGGCGGGCGGTGATGGGATGCTCTGTGCCCTCCTGACGGCCACTCCCAGGCTGGGTGTGCAGCTCCATCCTTTTCCGGTGCCATGGCAGGCTGGAAATGGGACAGACCCACCCATGAGCCACAGGAACTCAGGTGTGGCAGAACCACTGCCATCACTTATGGAGTCATAGCAGGCTGGTGAATCCGTGACAGCCCATGGGGCACCAAGGGTCACTGGTGGGACCTGGCATGGCTGTGACACCCACAATCGCCCAGGCAGGTGGGCAGCAGCCAAGGAAGGGCTGCCCCAAGGCCGGCCAGGGGTCCCATCACAGCGGGATGTGGGCAGAGCTGGGTGGACCCTGGCCCACTGCATGGTGCAGGGCTGCGGCGAGGTTTCCGTGGGCCGCTGGCTCTTACATAAGCTCATTGTTTCCTGAGTCAAAAGAGGTTTTGTCTCCGCTCTGGAGATGTGACAGGAGGAGGAACAATTTGCCCCATTCATCTTTAACTCTGCTCTGGAGAGTGGTGCGGTGGCCTGTGCCGGCAGAGACGTTAAACCCAACCACTTCCCCACCGTAAAATCTCCCGGGGAGCAGGTGTTGGAAATCGCCCCTTCCCCTCCTGATCTCCTCAAATCCAGCGCCACAGAAATCAAGGATAATCCAGCAGCCTCTTCAAAATGAAAACGCTGAGCCCTGATTAATTCATTTAATAAGTGACTGATCCCCTCCTCCCCCAGCACCACGGCCCAAGAAGCCATTTTGCTTCTTGCTCTCCTGGGCTGATGCCGGGGAGATGCCGGGGCTGCAGCAGAGGCACAAGGCTGCTCCCCCACAGCCACCTCACCAGCCTCACCATGTGTCTTGTCGTGGTCTGGCCTCTGCAGAGGGGCTGAAGAGGGCAGCACTCCATGGTCCTCGGGCCAGCTGCCTCTGTTGGGCTCTCCAGCCTCACCAGTCTCTCCCACACACTGCCAGGGTCTGCTCCACCTCCATGCAGCCCGTGGAGCCCCAGCTCGAGGGGATTAAACAGGAGAACGAAATAGTCCCGTTTTCCAACCGAAAGATCAAACCGGTTAGAAGTGACATTGTTTTTGCAGTTCCATCTGCTTCAATTAGGGCACGGGGGTGGAGCAGGGGGGCTCCCAATTATCCTCATTAGAGGGGCTCCTCGTGCAGCCAAGCTCCAGCCGTGAGCAGGGAGCTCACCAGGCTCGTGCTGGTTGATAATGAATATATTCATGGCTTCGCAGCCTGGCCTTGCTCGCCTGCTGCTGCTGGAGCCCTGCTCCTGACATGTGCTTTGGGCACTGCTGAGAGATGCGGAAAACCTCTTCAAGCTCCGGAGTTCGGTGGGTTTTGCTGAAATGGAGTGTGGTCAACAAAGCCACATCCACTGCTCAGAGTCCGGACACAGCTGCCAAAGCAGCGCAGGAGCCTAAATCTGGTCCCAGCACTCAAGATGGGAGTGCTCCTGCTCCCACTCCCCCAGGTTCCCCTTTGCTGTGGGGTGCCCCAGCTCCTCTCAGCAATGGCTGTAGGCTGGAGATACCCAGTGAAGCTGCCCAAGGAGCAGCCCCATCCCATCCATCCCAACAAGGAGACTGCAGCTCCCTCCTGACCTCATCTGCATTTTCAAGCTGGCTGAGGCCATTCCCACTCGGACCCAAGGAGTCATCAATTTGAATTTGTGGCCATTTCTCTGCTCAAAATACTGAGATTAACCCACCACTTTGTGTGTGTGTAGCTTCTGGGAGAGCATAATGTAAAAATACAGAAATAAGAAAATATCTGTAGTTCATGGGTTTAAAAACCTCATTATTTACGTACATCCATCCTTGCATAAACTAAATTGTTCCTTTAGTAGGTGCTGGCCACTAATATTAGATTCCCATTTCATTTCCTCATCCCACCTGGCAGGTTCCTAGAGACATCTTCCTCTTTGTTTGCAGTATCTTTTGCCTGTAGCAAACCCAGGGTTCGTAAATGCAGCAGCATCGGGTGGAAACCTGACGTGCAGCTGCTGCTGCCTGTGTTTTGTGTGACACAAAAGAAAACCTGAGACGTGGAGGAATCGGGGCGGTCCAGGTGTCACCCCCAGGATCCTGTCTGGTGTCAGCAGCCAGTGCAGAGCTGTCACTGCCTACTGGAATGGGGGGCCAGAGTTGGGGGCTGTCAGGAGGCTGGCGGTGGATAGGCAAGGGCAGAGTGGGATGCCCAGAGTGCGTTGGGGATGTCTGAGATAGACTGGGGATGCTCACAGCAGGTTGAGTATGCTTTCATTCCTGCAGGGGTGCCCAGAGGAGGTTAGGGATGCTCAGGACAGGTTTGGGGATGTGCAGGACAGGTTGGGGATGCTCAGGGCACCTGCACATTCTTCTCCCAGGTGACGCCTCTCGTGGTGCCCTTGCCTGGCAGAAATTTTGTGTCATGGTGGGCTCCCAGCCCTGCTGGTGCAGGTGGCCATGCCAGGGCTGCCAAGGAGCTGAGGGAGGAGGTCCCCACCATCATCCTGGCCACGGCACCGATTGGCCCAGCGCTGTTGCTGTGGCTGTGCCCAGGCCGATGGCAGGGCCTGGCCTACAGCTCGTGCCTCCGTGCACGAGAATAATTCTCCTTAATCCTTCCGAGAGGCATCGCTGGATGAGACTGGAGCCTCCCTCTGGGAGCCCCATCTCCCCTGGCGCAGAGAACAGTGCTGGGGGAGGGACAGCCGCCATCCTGGGCAGGGAGGCCTCTGTGCCCCCGGCCACCTGCCCGCTCCTGCTGGGGCCACAGCCAAGCCAGCATTGCTCCTGCACTCGTGCTGAGGGACAGCAAAACCCTGAGGGGGCTCAGCACCAGACCAGTGCCCTGGGCCAGGAGGGATATGGGAGCAGGAGGTGGCAGTGCCCCCAGTATCCTGCCCCTCCAGATGCAGCCGGAACCTGTGGACTTGGTCTGGGCTGCAGCCTCACCATTGCAAACACTGGCACAGGAGACTGGAGCTCCTTTTGGAGAAGTGGCTTGGAAGGTGCCCCCTGGATAAGTGCTGGCTGCTGAGCCCCTCTGGAGCCCTGCACTCCCTGGCACAGAGAGCTGGGTGGGACCAAGGGCTTTTGCCAGGACCCAGCCCCGTGGTGGGGTGGGTGACGCGTGCCACTGGCCTGGAGCACCCAGCACATAAACACCACCCCAGAGATTAGGTCAGCTCTGGTCATTGCTCAGACGAATAAGTGGATCAGCACAAGGGAAAGGAGGGGGAGGGAGCTCTGCTGAGCGGGGAGCTCCAGTAGGGACTTTTTAATTTAGGGGCTGGTGGGGCCAGGAGCCACCTTGGCGCAGGCGCAAGGCTTGGCAGCGAGCGCTGGCGCCCGTGGCGGGGTGACTGGGGACACGCGGCGGCAGCCCCAGCCGGCCCCACAGTCGGCTTGGATGCCCGAGTGTCCTCAAGTGTGTTTATTTTAAGGGATACAAAGTCCTGGGCCACCGCAGGGTCACCGCAGCACTCGCCCAGCCTCGCAGGAAAGTTTCCCGCAGGTGCTGGCAGGGGGAGGAGGAAGAGGAGGAGGAGGAGAAGGGTGGATGGCAGCAGCTGGGCACCATCCCGCCGCCCTGCGCCTGCACACCTTTGGACCTGGTGCCCATGTGCCAGGGGCCATCGGCACGGGGCTGCGGCCGCCCCACAGCCCCGGCCCATTGTCCCACAGTGGCCGGGCCAGGCGCAGGGACGGCCATCTGCTCGTCGCTGCCGACAGCTTCTTTGTTCACCGCCCGGCGCACGCTGGCGCAGGAAGCGGCTCCCACGTGCTTCGCCCTTTCCCTCTCGCGGAGGCACCTAATGAAATAAAGGATTTACTGCGGCGAGGGGGAGGGAAGGGAACAGGCTGAGCAGTTTGAAATGTCGTGCCTGGCCCCAGGGCTGGGCTCCCTGGTCAGGTGCAGGCAGGGTGGGTGAAGGCAGTGCCGGACTCTCTGCCACTGCTGGGCTGTTCTTTGGGAGCCACCATGGTGGGAGCAGGCACAGGCAGGGGGATGGTGCCAGGGGTGCCAATGCAATCAAGATCTGTGCACAAGGTGTGCGTGGCACCGCCATTGCCAGGGCTCTGACCTGTTTGTGTGGTGGGGAAAAGGCCTTACATGTGCTGTGGGGATGGCTCCAGGGTGTGTGGAAACCGGGAACAGGAGTGTTCATGTAGGGTGTAGGTCACTTGGGCTTTGAGTGAGACAGGAAGGACATCGTGCAGCCCCTGTCTCCTCCCTGCAGCAGCATGCCAAGGAGGAGCCTTGCTGGGTGGTGTGAACAGCTGTGAACAGAGCTCCTAATGCTGCTTCCAGGAACCATGGATTCAGGGTTTTCCCACCTGAGTGATCCTATCCTTGTTTGTCGTCCCTATGGCCCAGCACTCTGCAGAGCTGCATATCCCTTAACCACCAGTGCTGGAACTTGTAACTTCCCACTGCACCCAGCCCCAAACTGGGCCAGGAGGACGGCAGGGGACCTGGCAGGGAGAGGCAGTGCCCCTTTCTCCTCCCTGCAATGCAAACAGAAACCGAAAAGGACCAAATTCCAAAGTTCTTATTCAAGCCCAGGCACCATGGCTGAGGGTGGAGGCGTGGGGAACTGTCACCTGTGGAGGGATGGGTGGCTCGGGCATGGGGCACGGCAGCACCTGGTGTGCCTTGAGGGATGAGGGAGTGGATCTCTGTGACAATGGCCTTGCAGGCTTGGACATCAGCATCTGCACTTCCATCTGCTGCATGCCAGGGCCCAAAGCGCAGCAGTGCCAGCCTGGCTCCCAGTGGCAACACAGCCACTAAGTGAGCTCAGAGCGGCTTTGAGAGGGAGGTCCTAGGGTGCCAAGGAGGTAACCATACATCCTTCCTTGCAGATGACTCCTCGTCAGAGAGCTGCAGTGGGAATGGCTCCTCCACCCTGAACCCCTCCACCTCCAGCAGCACGCAGGGTGACAGTGCCTTCCCCGAAATGAACGGCAATGGCACCGCAGCCCCCATGGACTTCACCGCCTCGGCTGACGACCAGCCCATCAACCTCTGCGACAAGCTCACGCCTGCCCACATCACCCCTTCCTACCAGTCTGACAGCTGCAGTGCCGACGGGCTGCGCAGCAGGGTCAAGTACGGGGTCAAGACCACAGCAGAGGTATGGCCTGGGTGGTCTGGGAGAGCCAGGGACATGCCTCACACCCCATCTGCCCCAGAGCTGGGCACTGCAGTGGGCTCACCTCACCCCTGACCAGCTGTGTGAACCAGTTCCCATGTGATGAGGAGCCCATTCATGCTGGGTCAGGCAGTGTTTCCCACAGGATCAGGCAGAGCCATGGCCCCACCAGCCAGAGTTGCCATTGGGCCACCAGGTTATCACAGGCTCGCTGAGGTCACCATGCTGCCTCCTGCCCAAAGCAGGCAGGAGCGGACACACAGGGGAGCCTGGCCATGAGTTCATGTCCCTGGGTTGCAGGGGGGCCTTCGGGAGAGGGGACAGACATAGTGAGACAATGAGAAAAGGGCAGGTGTGTAAGTGAGAGCTGCTGGTGCTAATCCCTGTCTCCTCTCAGTCCCCCCCGTACAGCTCTGGCAGCTATGACTCCATTAAGACAGAGGTGAGCGGCTGCCCCGAGGACCTGACTGTTGGCAGGGCCCCCACAGCTGATGAAGATGATGATGACCACGATGACCATGAAGACAATGACAAGATCAATGACTCGGAGGGGATGGACCCAGAGAGGCTAAAGGCCTTCAATGTAAGGAGAGCTCCACAGGGAGGGTGAGCCCATCTGCCTTGTCTCAGGGTTCCCACCACCTGCCTTCTCATCTGCAGATGTTCGTGCGCCTTTTTGTGGACGAGAACCTGGACCGGATGGTTCCCATCTCCAAGCAGCCCAAGGAGAAGATCCAGGCCATCATTGAGTCCTGCAGCCGGCAGTTCCCCGAGTTCCAGGAGCGAGCGCGCAAGCGCATCCGCACCTACCTCAAATCCTGCCGTCGCATGAAGAAGAATGGGATGGAGATGGTGAGTGGCCACCCCAGTGCCCTGCCCCTCATCTCAGACCCCAGGGCAGTGCATCCCTGAGCATCCTCTCTGCTTGTGTCCCTGCAGACAAGGCCCACGCCGCCTCACCTGACCTCAGCCATGGCAGAGAACATCCTGGCCGCCGCCTGCGAGAGCGAAACGCGGAAAGCAGCCAAGAGGATGCGGCTGGAGATCTACCAGACCTCCCAGGTACGGTGCTGGCGGTTGGAGGTGGGCAAGGAACAGAACTGGCAGTGTCCTATGGTGGGGTCAAAAACCTTTCTGAAAGTCTGAGGGGCTGCAGAACAGAACCCTGTGGTGTGTCAGGCCAATGGGGATGGGAATGCTGGTTTGGATTTGCCACACTGCAACCACAGGACACCAGGCATCCCTGCACTTTCTGTCCTGCTGGCAGCAGAGGACAGCCAGGCTCCTTGCTGGACTAGGTCTGTATTTCCTCTGTGCAGGACGAACCGATCGCTCTAGACAAGCAGCACTCCAGAGACTCCACAGCCATCACCCACTCCTCCTACTCACTGCCAGCTTCATCTTACTCCCAAGACCCAGTCTACATCAATGGAAGCCTGAACTACAGCTACCGTGGCTACGGCTCCTTGGGGGGCAGCCTGCAGCCCCCCGCATCCCTCCAGACGGGCAACCACAGTAATGGTAAGTGGCTGTGCCAGTGGCGCAGGGAGCCCACCCTGCCATCGCCTCTGCCCCGTGCCTGGGCAGTGCACCAGGGGCTCCTGGCATCCCCCACTGTGGGGTTGATCTGGTTGTTGGAGGAGAGGCAGGGTCTGCTCTCGGCAGCTCCCACGGAGCCCAGTCATGTCTCACTGCTGAACAGAGCTGTTCCAAAACCCCTTCTTGTCCCTTCCGTCTGGCAGCTCTGCTCACGTCATCAGCAGGTGGTTAATTGTTGAACTGCACTTGGAAGGACGGTTTGGGTGGCACTGGTGAGGGAAGGAGTGTCACTTAAAAAAAAAAAAAAGAGAATCTGTACCAGATTCTCTGTTAATTATTAACAAGGGCGGACACTTATCGCTGCCCTGATCTCCTGCTGGTATGAGCCGTTCCGCTCTTGGGGATGGGGACAGGGTGGGGGGCACAGCCACAGCTCAGGAGGGCTCTGAGGGTCTGGGGAGTGCCTGGGAGCAGTTGAGGAAACAGGACTGATGCTGCAGGGCAGGAAGGCGGAAGGAGAGCGTAGGCAGAGCTTGAGATTAGGAGTAAGTGAACAGAGCAGAGTATCCTGGGCTGAAGCAGGGCACACAGGCAGGCTCCAAGGTGGCTGGTGACTTGCCCACACCTGGAGTGAGAGGTATGGGATGAGACTAAGTGTTCCCTCTGGCTCTGTGATGCAGCAGTCGTGGCAGAAGGGGCTGGATCCCTTGCCAGTCCTTGTCTAGTCCTTGCACAATCCCCAGGTTGCCATTGCCTGTCCTGGTGCGCTCTGGGCTCCTGCCCCAGCCCACCCCGACGGGAGCCAGGATTTGGAAGGATGTGATTTCCGGAGGCCTGAGAGATGCCTGTCTGGGATTAACTCTTATCATCCCTTCCTAATGCTTCTTAACCCTGAATAAAGATCCTGTCCCGGCCTCCAGCTGCTGAGACCTAATCCTCACAGCAATGGTTCCTCCCCAGAACAGCACGGGCACCCGGTCCCCCGCTGCCAGGCACCCTCCATGTGAGACAGTGAACATGCAGGAAGGTCCCTGAGCAGGCCCAGGAGGAGCAAACAGGCCCCGGGTGCAGCACCCAGCAGCAGTTCGGCTTCTTTCTTTCTTTCTAGAGAATTTTTAAACCTCTGTTTTGCAGTTATCTTTTTCCAAAGCTCTTGCCCAGTCCTTCAGAGGGAAGAGCACTTGGGAAGGAGCTTCGTCTTCTCCTCCCTCTGAGCAGAGGCCCCGCAGGGCTTTGCTGCCCAGAAGTGTCTTCACCCTCCATCCCCCACCTCAGGCAATTCTTGCTCAAGCCCACATCCCTGCTCCCAGCTCCTTCCCCCTTGGTGAGCCGGGAAACAGGCTCAGGCTCAGTTTACTGCTGTCTTTTCTGTCCAGTGAAATTGCTTTCGCATGAGAGCCTCCTCCTCCTTCTCCTCCTCCTCCTCCTCCTCCCCCGCTTTGAAGCCCTGGTTCTCTTGGCATGGAGCACTTCTGCTGGTGCTGCTCCTCCCGCAGCTCCAGCAGTGCTTTCCTTGAATGCTTTCCATTCCGCCCAGGGCGATGAGCTCCCCTCCCTGCCACCATCACCAGTGGCACCCACCTGGACTTGGGGGCAGCTGAACTCCCCCATCCCAGTTTGCAAACAGCCACAACACACAGTCCTTGCTCCCATGGCTGTCCCATGGCTGCATCAGGCCACCCAGCAGGAGCTCAACCATCCCAAAGCCTTTCTCCAGCATCACCAACTGCTCCACTCACCTGCAGCACCCAGCTCACAGCCCAGGGATTAGTTCAGTGCCTTCTCTCCTTCCCTCCAGGCTACAGCTTTGCCAGCCTCCTCTCCCTGACTACTGTCACATCTCTAGTACATCTCTTGGCACTTCTCATTTCCAATTGATTGTGTGTTTCTTGCTCTTTGTTTTGCTTCTCTTACTTAGTCCAACAGGAAGATAAGTTCACCTTTTCCCCTGCCTCTACCTGCTGGGGTCACTCATCAAGATAAACCATGGAAGCACAGCCCATGTGGGATGTTACTCCCCATATGCAGAGGGAAAACCAGAACCTGGAAGGCAATTTTGATGGTGCAAGTGCCAACAGGAGCTGGCCTACCTCCCAGCAGACCTTCTCTTCACAGAGCTGTGGGCCAGGCTGCAGGATGGGATTTTTGTCATGTTGGCTCTGAGACCTCTTTATAGAATCACAGAATTGTTTGGTTTGGAAGAAGCCTTAAAGTTGATTTCACTCCAACGCCCTGCCACAGGCAGGGACACTTTCCACTAGAGCAGGTTGCTCCAAGTCCTGTCCAACCTGGCCTTGAACACTTCCAGGGATGGGGCAGCCACAGCTTCTCTGGGCACCCTGTGCCAGAGATTCACGAATCTCACAAGAAGAATTTCTTCCCAATATCCCATCTAAGCCTGCCCTCTGTGAGATTGAAGGTGTTGCCCCTTGTTCTGTCACTCCATGCCCTTGTCCAAAGTCCCTCTGCAGCTCTCTTGGAACTCATTTAGGCACTGAAAGGAGCTCTAAGGTCTCTCCAGAGCTTCTCTTCTCCAGGCTGAACAACCCCAATTTCCTCAGCCTGTACCCCTAGCAGAGGTGCTCTAGCCTTTGGAGCATCTCTGTGAGCTCCTCTGGACTTGTGTTCCTGTTTGCAAAGGCAGTGAGTGGCTGCTCTGGGGTCTTTGTAAACGGGAGCTCCTCACATTATCTGGGCACTGTGGGGACCTTCCAAGTGGTGCAGAGGTCTGGAATCACAGCAGGATGAGCATGGGAAAAGTTGCTGTGCCTGAGCTTCCCTCTCACTTTTCCTTGGCAGGTCCGACCGATCTCAGTATGAAAGGTGGGGCCTCCAGCACAGCCCCCTCCAACAGCACCAGCCGGGGCATGCAGGCGGCCCAGCTGAGCCCCACGGAGATCAGCGCCGTGCGGCAGCTCATCGCCGGCTACCGGGAGTCAGCGGCGTTCCTGCTCCGCTCTGCAGACGAACTGGAAAACCTCATTTTACAGCAGAACTGACTCCCCGTGTCTGCATCGCTCCTCGGTCGACAAGACAATTTATACCTGCTAGAAAGAGGCTCCCGGCGGTGTCCTGCTCAGGACCACCATTGTCCTCCCACCACGTGGTGGGCACATGTAGTTTTAGAAGGTGGGATCCAAAAGACCTGTTTTCTTTTACACTCCAAGCACCTGGGACTTCAGGCACAAGGACACGTTTTGGAACCATACCAACATCGTGCCTCTGGCTGACCAGAAGCCAAACCCTGAAGCTTGGAAGGATGTGGGACTTTGAAGGGCAGAAGGGAGCCTGGGGAGGTTTGGGGCTGCAGATGTATTTAGAATAACCTTTGTGGACCCAAATGTTAGATTCCCATCCCTGGATAATTTCCAAGTCTTAGGTGAGCTGAATCACATATTTATTGAGAAATGGACCCTCCTCTCCCCTTAGTAATTTATTTTTCTGAAAATGGATTCTTTTGAGTTTGTACAGATTGCCAGTTTTTTGTCTGTCTGATCAGAAGGAATTTATTCCTGTGAAATAACACATTCCATATCACTACACTACTAATTTCCAGGCAGCTCTGCCTGTTTCTCTGGTGAACCCTTGTCCCACAGGGAGCAAGTTTGCCATCCAGCCTTTGACATCGAGGCTGCTCAGCCTCCAATGAGCGTAGGTGAGAGCTGAACAGCAGCGCAAGCGTCCTGCTTAGGCCTTTGTTCTAAGGGGTCCCATAGCAGCAGTGGGGTCTGAACCTCCCGCAGAGACTTGGCAAGCTAAGCAGACCTCCGGCTGGAAGGACATCTCGTACTCATTAAAGTCACTGCAGATAAGAGAAGGAAGGAAGGAAGGAGATACCTGAGAAACACTGTCTTGCGGTCACCGTCCGTACTCTACCTCACACTCCATCGTGGGCTTCTTCCAGGACTGGCGGCGCTGGTCCTGGGGGCAGTGAGTGCTGCAGACATGGGGATTGTGCCGCGGAGGCTGGAACCTCCGGCTGGGGTCCCGGCCGTGCGCTCCGCTCCGTCTGCAGCCAGCCCCGGGGGAGCACCGGGACACGAACCCCGGCACCCGCGGGGGTGTGAGGCAGGGCAGCCCCAGGGCTCATCCCACAGGTGAGCTGCAGTGGTGACCGCCCCCTTCTGCGGGGAGAGACGGGCAGCATTGAGCAGCAGAACTGACAAAATCCTCTCCGGGGCCCAGGATCCTTCCCCCTCCCTGCTCACAGTCCTGGAACAAGCCCACAGTTCCCAAAGTGTGGAAGAACCGTAGTCCGATGACCATTCTGCCCTGTTTCACCCCCCCACAATGATGCACTTCGTTTTGCTCAGTGCAATACCTACTGCCAGTGCTGCTAACCCAGGGACCTCGCTCCGGCCAGGGGTGCTGAGCCCAGCCCAGCAATGCAACGTGCTCTGGAGCTGTGCAGAGACCAGCGAGGGTCCCGCTGCACCCTGTCCCCCACAGGCCCCTCACTTGGCTGAAATCCACACCATGAGATAGAAATTCGATAAGTGTAAAGCTGTTTTGTAGGTAGAAACGTTCTTAGTTTGGAGCCAGTTTTTATCTTATTTTTTGGCCACTCGGAGCCAGCGGCCAGGGGCTGCTGCTCCAGGGCCCAACGCTGGTGGCACAGGCTTGAGCAGCCGCTGGTCCGGCCAGGAGCAGGCCCGGGCAGTTCCCCTGTACCCTCTATACCCCATGATGCTCCACACACTGGAAGAGAAGCAAAACTTTACCCTGCTTTTAGTCTCAGAACAGAAAAAGCTGCTGGCTCCTGAGGCCAGGTGTGTCTGGCCCCACAGCAGAAGGGATCAATCGTTGCATTGACTGTTTTCCCCAAACCCTAAACTTTCCGTAGCATTTGGAGAAAAGGGACCTAGCCCCTCACCGTGGGGTGCAGCTGAGGGGTCAGTGCAGAGACCAGGTGACGGTGGCTCACAGACCTGAGCCGATGCTGGAACCAGGAGCATCGTGGCCACACCCATCCCCTCCCGCCCGCAGCAGCGGAGCGTGGGGAGGGGGCCCCGGCGACGCCAGCCCCCAGCCAGGGCTCAGACTTAACGCTTTCCCCAGCACTTCACAAGCCTGCTTGGTTTGTCCACTGCATCCTCCCATACTTGGAATTTATGTAAATATTTTTTTTTGTGTGAATACCATGAAGTAACAAACCTTTGACAAAATCTGTAACCGCAGCCATTTGTGAAAGTCTTACCGTTCAGGCAGGAGAGGCAGAGACAATCGCTGCCCCGGGATTCTCCCTCTCCGTGGTCTCCCACCCACGCCCGTGCCTCCCTCCTCGCCAGAGGCAGCGGAACCTTTAGCCATAAGTTTGCCATCAGTTTGTACTGCAACAGAGGTAACCCGGGGGCACACGGACAGACCACCAACAGCCACAGTTGGGTTAAGTTTTATTTATCCAAGTCATTCCTGATCACCTCCGAACCTGTCTCGGCACATATGGAAGTTCAGGAGCGCTCACACGTGGTCAAACTGCTGTAGAGGACACGAAGGAGGGTGCCCAACACTGCCCTGTCCCAGCACCTGATGTTCATAACCTGCAGCTGAATGGTACAGACTCAGATTCCCAAAGCCCTGGTGACAGCCACATCTGGGACAAGTTGTGAAACAAACGGGATTGACTCCGAATTTCTGTCAGGGATATTTTTTCTTTTTTTTTTTCTTTTTTTTTTTCCTACTTTTTTTGTGTGAGCCACAGCATTCTGGTTCCTTTGGCACGAGCTCCACAGACATCTCCGTGCTCTGCAGCTGCTCCATGCTCCACCGTGGCTCCCTGTGCTCCAGGACTGTTCACAGCCACATTCCTGCGCTCTCACTGGGCAGGACGGGGTCAGGAATTGCTAGTCCAGGTTCTCAACGAGAAGGAACAAGCAGGAGCAGAATACACCGGCTTTCCAGATATCTGAGAGGTGGAAGGAGAATGCTGGGTTAGCAAATGGTCTGGATGGTCTTGGGTTTGGTTAAGAAAAGCTGATCACTGGTCAAAAAAAAGAGATTTTTTTTTTGTAAATTTGATTTTATTTCAACACACCCATCCTGCCCTGGATGTGCGGTTCCCATGACGCTGTTTCTCTATGGGAGAGCGTTCCCGGGGTTGTGAGCAGATGTAACTTGTACCTCCCCGATCCCAAGGGCCACTTCCCTCCTGGAGCGGCCGTCGGATTTAGTACCAGTTCATGGAAAAAAAAAATGCTGCTTTGAACTCAGAGGGTTAATATACTTTTGATTTGTAATTTTTTGTAAAACTTTTTACAAGGTAGCATAGTATTTCACCAGACACCAACTACAATCCGTCCATGGTCTGATTTTTATATAATTTAGTGGTGCTTTAGAAACTTTTGTTCAGTTGTTTCGGAGCTGCACAGCTCAGTTCTTCGCCTGTATCTACCTAAGACCAATGTGAACCTTTGTATTTTTGCTCCTAATTTTGGACTCAGTGAAAGTGTACTGTTTACATGTACAGAACTCCCGACCCCGTGTGTTCTGCCAGACCTGCTGTTGAAGAGGAAGCTGCCCCTCACCCAGTTCGTCTGCTTAACCCAGCCACAGCCTCACCCACCCACCGCCACACGCCCGCCCCGAGGGACACCCCACAAACCCCGACACCCTTTAAGCAATTTTGGGTTTTGCACAAGCTGTTGTATTTTTTTTTCCCCCAGTAGTTGTACGGATCGGAGCTCTGAAGCACCAGATCTGGGCAGTGCTGCTGCCTCCCCATCCTCCTCCTCCTCCCACACAGGCAGGAGGGCTCCCAGCTGGTGTAGGGGAGCAGTGGAGGGAGCAGGGGGAAAACACTCCTGAGCAGAATTGGGAATACTTTAGGGAAGGGGGTGAGCTCGCCCAAGCCGGCCGCTGGCTTGGGATGGAGGGTGGGAGCGCGGTCCCACGGGAGGCTCCCAGCGAGGCAGAAGAGGCTCTTTGGGAAGCTGCTGCTTTCCCGAGGGCTCACATAGAAAGCGTATGGCACTTAATCCAGCTTCTAAGGTGACACTTTATTGCTTAATCAATTGACTCCTTTGGAAATGATATTTTTGCAGATAGGCACCTATGCAACTTCATGTGGCTCTTAAGCAGATGAGCACTTCCTCCTCAACGAGCTTGATAAGAGTTATTTGTGTTATATACTGTGGATTTTTCCAGTAAATGTGGCTTAATATTTTAATTCTTAGAATGTGTGTCTATTATATATGTGATGCAACTTAATTCTGTTCTGTTTGTGGAATGATTAGCACAGGCCAACTCCCTGTCCCCTCACTTAACAAAGACCAATGAGCTGTTAATCGAGCTGTTATCTCCATGGTATTACTTGCTAAATGCACTGATTTCATAAGTATGTGGAATCCTTTTTTTTTTTTCTTTTGAATCTGTATATCATATATAAGACTGAATCTACTTAATAAACACTGTATAACAAAAAGGGCTTTCTCCTCCACTGTCGAGCCCCGCTGGGTGCTGCTGGCCCCAGCTCTGCCCCTCGCCCCAGGCCCTGTGCGAGAGGTCGGTGCCATCAGTCACCAGAGCGGGATCTAAATTTAGGTGTTAAAAGGAAGAAAAAAAAAACAAAACTAAAACATCTCTCAGTCCTGTTGACATAAGCTGTGCTTTCCATTCCGTAACAGACAGCGTGGGTACCAGAGAGAGCAGTGGCAGCACTCACAAAGGGGGCAAGGCACCAGTTTTATGCTTAACTTATATTTTGACAAAATTAATTTTGTGAAGTGTCTGGTTTTTGTGAGAAAAAAAAAAGAAAAAAGAAAAAAAAAAGTTTTCATTGAAGTTTGTGCAAAGTTCTCCCTCATGGAAAATACTGATTTTTCGTTATCAGCTTTATTCACTAAATATAATAAACCTTTGCATCCATCAATGTTCCTCTTCAAGCGCTGTATAGATACCATCTCCTGGTGTGATTGTCAGGAGACCCAGAGGGTCTAACGGGTTTTTTGCAGCTTCTATGGAAATGCAGCTGCCCAGGGTGTGGGGTTGCTGGTGGGGCAGGCGGGTGGGCTTCCCCTTCCCGGGATTTGCTGAAGCTGCAGCCGGGAGCGAGGCCGGGAGGACCCACCTGAATGTTTGTGCTTGTAAAGGATCACCTGGGACAGCACATCCCACATGGAGCATCCACAGAATTCATTAATGTCTGGCAGGACAGCGCCAGCGGCCCTGTGTCCCTGACACCATAGGGTCTGTGACTGAGCCTCTGGCTGAGCTTTGCTTCCAGATTTCCAAGGGAGCATGGGAGGGGGCTGCAAGCCTCGGGGATGAGCAGGGCCGGGCAAACCAGTTGGCATCACCTGCTGAGGCTTCCACAGCTCCCTGGCCGGACCGACTCAGGATGTCGCCACGCCTGCAGATGGCCCCGCCGAGCACAGCAGAGCCACAGCCAAACAGCAGCCAGGCTGGGAGAGAGAAAATCTGTTACTTGGCACACAAATATCACAGAGAGGAAAAAAAAAGGAAAAAAGTGTATTGCTCTTTGTGAAATTCTGATGTTAATGGGTTTTACTCTTGAAACCCCCAAGCTCCCCTATTCCAGAGGTAGCTAATCC